GCTCACTTGCGGTTTCTTGTCGGAAGCCAATGCCTTGTCGGCCTCGGACAAGATTGTGAGAATGAGGAGTGTAAGAAGGAAAAGAGAGATGAGTTTGCAACCCATCTCTGAAAGAGAGAAAAATATTTGTTTTTTTTATAGGTTTTGGGATGGAACTGGGTTTGTATATTCACATATATATACTTGTACATATGTACCGTGGTGAATGAGTAATGTGAATAGATTCTTGGGTGGAGATATTATTGGCAGTATATATCGGTTCGAAATTACAATATATGTATATATATCAGTTCATTAGGAAAGCCACAAAAATTTAGGCTGACAAATCTTTGAAAAATGTTCACTTAAGGGGTTGTTGATAGAGGAATTTGTGAAAATTAAATTTATTGCGTTGAAATTTTATAAAATAAATAAAAGTTTACTGAACTTAACATATGGGCTAGATTCTTACCGTTTTTAGGAATTATCATTGACTATCACTGATTTGGTTCATGTTTACTCGGATTTGGATTAAGTTTAGTAACATTTCCAAAACGAGTTGAATCTAACATAATTTGTATTTTAGATCTTCATTGAGTTTTTGGTTCTCAATTTTTTTATTTGAATTTAGTTCAAACCGAAAAACTAAATAAAAATTCAGTTAAATAAAGATTTTTTTGAAAAAATTGGAATGAGAAATTGTCACTATTTTTTGGTTCTAGTGTAAATTCTGACAAATGAAATTAGAGAGTAAAGAGGAAAAAAACTCAAAACTATATGCAATCACAACAAATCTGATAAACTGGAAACGGAATGCATCAAAACCGATAAGTTCGACTATATAGATAGTTAAGGAAATCAGTGAGTATTTTGTGTACTTATTCGGGATTGAATTCACATTTAATGAGTATATTTCTAGAATTTTGAAATTTTTGGATTGTTTTGATTATCTATTTGGGTTCTGGTTTAATTTGGATAAAACTTAAAATCCGAAATATCATAAAATAAGTATGATTCGGTATTTATATCGGATTTGGTACTTCGGAATCATTTTTGTCAGGCAAATTCGGTTAGATGTCAGAATTCAGTTTATGTGCCCATCAGTAATATATAAAATTTTGAATAACCAAAGATAGTAAATACATTAAAAATGTAAATCAAATAACAATAAACTTTACCAGTAACCCAAAGCTAATTTTGGATTCAACTATTGACCGACTGCGATCGCTAGAACTGGTTCAGGTGTGTCTATCAAAATTTCTCAGCAAGTATTTATGTTTCGTAGCTGTCAATTAAGTATTTTTAGAAGTTTCGTACCATATTTAGTCATTATGTATGTGTTGGGAATTATCTCAACTATTAGCCTATTGCGGTCTTTAGAAATCTTATTGTATTATAAAGTTATACACTCTCTTTTTCTATAGTGAAATATGCGGAAATGTTTCCTAATTCTCTCTGTTTCCTGATTCTTCTCTATGAATCATTTATAAATTCCTTTTGTAGCCGTTTGTTGGATGTTCATACTGGGTTGTCTGGGTTTTGATTATACTACTAAGTAAGGCTTTTATGCGTTCAAACTGGCCAAAGAAGATTTGGGTTATTGTTGTATGTTTTTGTCGACGTTGAACTGTTGAAGGTTTTTTGATCTTCGCTAAAATTTACCTTAGTTAAACTTTTGGCAAAAAATCAGAAATGTTTTCACTAGTATACTTTGGTCGGAACGCTACAGAAAAATACAGTAGACATTAATATAATTCAGTGACGGAATATTCCATTTCCACAAATAACTAGCTGTGCGGATGATTTTATGTCGCTAAATATATCTCCAAAATCTAGAAATACCTATAAAATCCATATAATATTAATTCTATTGATATTGATATCTCAGCATAAAATTCTTGACTCAAAATAGAAAAATTTCGAGATGAAGTGTCACAATCTAAGTGTTTTTAATAGAATGTTTTCACAAGAGTTAAAGTAAAAGAAGCAAAAAGTAATATTACCCTCTTGGGAATATGCAGCTTATTATGTGGCCTGACCTGTAAGGCTGTAAGGTCTACAGTCGCCCACCAATGATCATTGCCACACCGTTGAATTCACATTAATTCTGGGACGAGAAAACCATCAAAAGCAAAAAAGTTTTGCTGAAGCCATCCACAATCCACATTATCATTTTTGGTGTTCTCTCGTGGGGCTCCCCTGTATGAATCAAAGGTATTTTAGTGGGACATTCTATTGCTTAACTTGTCACGGGGGACATCTTAAATCATTTTCCATCAATTCTTACATGCTTCTACGCCATCTGGTCATTATTCCTATCGCCAAGTTGTATCATTTTGATGAAAAAAACATTTCGTATAAGACATGGACATCACTATTTATAGACAAGTCTTGGCTACTTTTTTTCTAGTTGATTATGTTTTATTATTCGGTTTTTGAAATAGCGAATGAACTAATTTTCACAGGAGTACTGACATGCATGTAAGGGAAGAAAATTACGTCACGTTTCTTTTAATTATGACATTAGTCACGGTATAGAAGCAAGAAAACAAAAATGACTAAAATTAAACTAAATTTGATTTGTAGTGAATTGGCATGATCGAAAAGAAAAGTTTTGATGAAACAAAAATGACGAAAATTAGATTAAATTTGATTTGTAGTGACTTGGCTTGATCGAAAAGAAAAGTATGATGGTCAAGGTGTATATGCGCATGTTATTTAGACAAAATCGATGCCAAACCAAAAAAAATTTAGACAAAATCCACTTTTTTGAAAGATTTTTTAAAAGAGAAAATATGGTGGGTTGTGTTTCTGTAACTATCCTGCATGTACAAGACAGGATAATCGAATATATTTATCAAGGAAGTGAAAACATTAATTACATCGTTGTAAAACAGTTAATGTTGATGAAAAAATTACAAAGGCTTTCCTTGTTTCAATAAAATTTCACTTTATTTATCATTCTAGGTTTTTACACACAGATTAAATAAACATTTAATTTTATATATTTTCAAGATAAAAACACAATTACTTATACACCTAACCACTTTTCAACCAATAAAAAAATAGAATATCATATAAACCTAATAAATTTTGCCTCGAAACTTTAAAACGACACTTATTTTGAAACAAAATTTTTTCTCTAGAATGACATCTAATTCGAAACGGAGGGAGTATATTTTAATACTTTTACACATTACAAAATATGAATTTCAAATTATTTATTCATTATTTTTTTAACTTACTATTCCCATAACTTTTAAACAATATGATTTAAATAAATGTTTATAATTACAAAATTAACTACTGCATTGAAAACGTAAATAATATATCTTTTGAACAATTTTTTTTATTTTAAATATGGATCTTTTCAGAACAAAAGTGGTATTGTTTATTCATATTTTCTGTCATCAAGTCAAAATCTTCTCTTGTAGCTGTGTAGGAGTGAAGAAGTCTGCGGAAGGTAACAAACGCTTCAAAAGTAAAAAAGACAATGATGTGTCGATGATTGCATAATGAGAAGATCAAGAGACTATATATTTGGTTTTAATTTCATGATAATCCGACGTGTACCTGTTCTAAATGTATCCTTCATGCTTTTGTAATCCCCTAAACTTTTGCTAATCAGAAAAAGGAAGCAAGGCATATATTATCCAAGTGGGTCGAGTTTTAGTATCATGTATGATATCTTCTAACATCCCGACTGCCCACGGCTAATGGGTCATCCACGCCCATTCTCTCGGCCCATAGGCTCTATCCCGTTCCAATTGTCGATCCGTTAATTTTTCAAGGTTCTAGAGTCATGTTTACTGGCCCTGCAATCACCACCCGACCTTTCTCCGTACTTTGGCCTTATTTAAACGGTATCGCAAATCACTTCCCGATAGGTCACCCATTCTTTGACTACTCCAGCTCAAGCACGCTTAACTCTGGAGTTCTCTCTGGATGTGCTCCCAAAAAGGTAAGTGCACTTTGGTAACATAGGTAGCCAAATCAATCCTCTTAAGCCTTTCCATATATCACAACTTGGGATGTTACAATTCACCCTCTCTCAAAAAACGCAATGTCTTCGTTGCTCTCCACGACAGGTCTCAAGACGCCTCTCAGGTCAGAACTGAGATGGCTAACCAGCTTTGATACCACTTGTAACGCCCCGACCGTCCACGGCTAATGGGTCACCCACGCTTGCTTTCTCGGCCCATGGACCCCATCCCGTTCTAATGATCGATCTGTTAATTTTTCAAGACTCTAGAGTTATGTTTACTGACCCTGAGAAGTGACTTCAAAATTTGACTTAAATTACAAAACTCATTTCTAATTCTAAGTAACATGCTCAATATTCTTTTAGGAACAATCCATGAATACGATATGTATTGCAAGCAATTATTTTACATCTATATGAAAATATCGACAAGATATATATAACCAAGTTTTGTAAGAAAATGAAATAAAGGGAAATATGAAAGAAAAAAAATCCAGGAAGTCGGTGTTGGAATATAGATATACTTTTATGTAGTCTCTAGACTCTCTACCCTTATTTTTCATTGTAGAGTAATGCTCATTTATTTTAATCTCCAAACGCATATTCCTAATTAGACACCATTATATATCAAGAAGCCACCATCACACTGAACATTTGTACACTAGCACCAAAACTGATGACCATTGCTGTTGTTAGGCACATAAACGTAGTACTTAGATTATCTAAATTGGGATCTAATTTTAGATTTAGTTCCTAATATTACCATCCATGCATGATAAACGATTAGCCACTTCTATTTATACATATCATTTTTTTTTTATAAATCAATACATGTCTTACAAGTTACATCAACGCCATGCAAGACGTACAGAACGATACGAAATACATTTTAAGTGTGGCTCAAAATATGCGATGTGGATTCAAACCACACCTCAACAATATTTAATCAAATAATCAAAACAGTATTAATATATATCACTTTGATATACATATACCATTAGAATTGTAGGCTATGTATAAGTTATATTGCAAAAGACGCTTATGCAACCGGATAAAAAGCATATTGGGCTACACCACACATGCCCTGAGGCCAAGCCACGTCTCTACGGATCCTAATATAACCATTTTCTCCCCAAGTCTCACCCCAAGAGTTCTTAGCCAGCCAATATTTCGTCCCGTCCTGACTCACTCCATACCCAACAAACGTAACCGCGTGATTCGAGCTGGTTCCACAAGGCCCGTCGTATACTCCCCCTGAGTAATGCATGAACCCGTCCCCACTTGCGTCCATCGAGATAGAGACGGGTTGCCTCGACACGGCCTCGAGCAAGGCCTGCTCGTTGTTACTAGGAACTGATTGGAAACTGCTGATCCGTGCAGCGGGTCTTGCATTGGTCCGGCATCTTTCGTCTGATCCTTGGTACGAGTAAGACTCCTCCGAAGCGATGCCTCGGTTTTGGATTATATAGTTGAAAGCATCCGACATTATCCCACCGTTGCAGCCTTGGTCGTACTCTCTGTCGCAGTCTAGAAGCTGTTGTTCGGACAAAGATACGAGGTTCCCGCTGGAGATCTTAGTCACACCTTCCACTGCTGCTACAGCCGAAAACGCCCAGCAACATCCTGTATATATATAGATTTATATGATTAATTGGATGCTCTCATAGAATGATCATCCCTATTAAGTTAAACTCTAACTTAACTTGTATGTCAAGTTATAATATTTTGGGGCGCATTTGTTTTGATTTATACGATCTTATATATATATATATATTTTATAATTTATGTTTTAATTTATATGAAACAGAAGCATTACCGCATTGGCCTTGGTACTTGACAGGAGTGACAGCTCCTTCACTCCTCCAGTCTTTGCTCTCGCCCACCACGTCACTGACGTTCCAAGACCTAGACGACATCGTTTTCTCGACCACCAAGGATGGGGAAGTTCGAGTTATATTCTTTAGCCCGGTGTGCGTTGCTAGGAACTCCTCGTCTTAGTAAAGTAAAAATGGGCCAACCTAAGGCATAGCGTATGGCCCAATCAGTGACTTAGCCAAGAATTAAAGCTATTGCAGTTTTTAGACTCCAAAATGAACATCAAACACAAAACAAAATATTTACTAATCTTCGAGACCTAGTTAGGAGATGTTTCAGCTTATATTCCTACCAATGTAATTTCCATTACAGATGGAAAATATCAACAACACTCAGAAACTCGGCTCTCTAGCTCCAATATCCACAACATTGAAGCTCAAGCTATATAGTCTTCACTAAAAAAATTATAATCATACATTCTTAAGTGTTATTGAACGGTTATAAACATTGCCCACGAACACAAGAAGGGTTAAAAGTTCTTCAACAGATATTTTCAAAAGGGTTTCATCTGCTCACTCAGAAAAACAGTTTCAACATTTATGTCATTGTCTATTTATAAAGAAAGAGATAGTCTAATGTGTACAGAACAGCTTTAGGGGAATTTATATACTTGGGACTACTTTGTTCATATATAACAAATTGTTTATCACCCATTACTCTATATAAGACAATGAAGCTTCTCCGACCCCTCTGTTACTTTCCGCTGTTTCTACTAGATACAAATTTATTTATTACACACTCTCTAAACTGTAGGTTACCTCCTCATGGTGCAATGCAAGGCCCATCTTTTCACTGGATGATATTTATATGCTTCTGAGGTTCAACAAATTATCCAAAGCAAACTGGCGAGTCTCGACCAACCGGAAAATCACATCCATGCTGGTGCCTAGCTCTTGCCTATCAACTTGGTTCGGCTATATTCAATTTTCTCACTCTCTGATTACACACTGATATTCTAATGACTTTTTCATCCAAGTCGTTTCTACTATAGATTGATCTTGCAACACCTGTGTGTGTTTTATAACTCAATGCTACATGTTGAAACTGTATAATACAAACTTATTTATCATAAATGTTTTCTTAAAACTAACTTGCTGCACTAAAATGAATGTAACCGATATGATTTTTGAGACCATAAAAAGTTGTACAAGTTTGATGGAAGATCATAGAGACTACAAAGCTTTGTAAAATTAAGATAGCCTAATATGACATTAAGCTAGAGATGTCATAAATGTTATGACGAGTATTGATATAATCCGTTCTTATACATAAATATAGTTTTGTCTGCACCGTGTGAATGATGATCTTAAAAATGTTGAACAAATTAGCCGTTGTTGGACAATGTTGAAGTCCCACATACAAATAAAAAATCCAGGGATATATAGGAATCCCGTAAACGAGAACGGTCCTTTTACATAACCAATGGAGCTTGTGCACAAATTATTATTACTAGTATATGGTTTATGATAATATATTATCTAAAGTGAATATGTAAATGCCATTTCTGGTTACTTCGACCAGAAGCTTTTGAGTGACACTAAGGCTTAAGATTCTCTGGACAATTATACAGTTAACCTTTACGAAAGATAATGTGGAAGTGGGATTCATGTACAATTAACTTTGATCGATGAGATTAATTATGTACCATATGCTCTATGGACTATGACCCCTATAATATATACAGATAAATTACGGCTGCTATTTGACAGTGATATAAATATATTCTCAACGAACAATTTTTAATCGTGGGTCCAGTCAATTTTGTCATTCTCATCATTATTTCAGCATACTTTAACACATGCATCTAACATAAGATACATAAAGAATGGTTAAGGTGGTTAACGCATATATGTTTGGCTAATGGAAAATATTGCTAACTTTTCGTCGGCTCAAAAAATAATATTCGAAGTTTTTCTTAGGTGAACTCTTGTAGTGTCGTGTCTTCACGTTCGGAAAATACGCAACAAAGAATCAATTTGTCTTATATATAAATATTTTTATAATTGATATATTATATACAAATCTGTTTCCTTTCGAAACAAACATATAGTATTATTGTATTAAAGTACTACTAGATATACATAAGAGATATGGTGAGTAATATAAGGTTGAAAGAACTAAGGTAGATACTATCAAATATTAATACATTATGTATATGTGCAAAATTTGCTGCACACGCATACGGCATACCAATCAATTTATTAAAATTATGAACTGACTATGCGTATTGTCTATAGTTCTTAGTTGTTTATAAAATATTGTTATAGTTTTCTAAATATATAAATTAGGGTATGGATGGCATGGTTATGTGCTCACCTTTTTGATAAGGGATGAACTGTACGTGAGAAAAGTAAGAGGCAACGCCTTGGCATGTGCAGTACCGTATGAGTATATTAGTTTTGTGAATAAATGCATAAAACTGCATGAAAATACACTAATCAACTGCCTCTTAAGTACAAAGCGGTGGTTTCGTGAAATTTCGACTCCCTAAGTTCGACTCCCATGGTGATCTATGGCCTCCGGTATTATCGGGTCTTTACGATCCGGATGCGTATAAAAAAATATACGAACAAAAAAAAATCAAATACTTAGATACGTATCCCAACCTTCTCATGCACATAAAGCTAAGGCTGCTAAATATTATTCCATCCATGTTACGTTTCATACCAGCTGTTCTATATACCATTCTTTACTTTTATCAATTGCAAAAAGAAAAAAATTCTGTGATATAAGAGTAATGTGTTTAATGTGTAATATATCTCTGGCATATCTAGATTTGGGACAAAAAAATCGACATAAAAATACGGATTCATGCTTAAAGATAACATTAAAAATGTCTCACAGAAAAATATAAAGATTCATTGCAGAAATCATTTGTCTCTCTATGCTAATGTTTCGAGTAAAGTTAACCAATACCAAACAGAATAAAAACCATCGAACCTATAAAGAACACCAACCATCCTAACTCATCTAAGTGATAAGACTCTTCCTCTTTCTTTTTTCTCGCTCTTATTTGTTCACTATAGTTTAAATTCAAGAAAAATCGAATAAACCCCTACTAGCTTAATCGATGTTGGTTTCTGTTCTTATTTCAACCAACCAACGATAGGATCCCAAAAAAGCTCACTAGGCGAGAAACGATGCGAAATCTCAAATCACATCGTCTCCAACTGTTGTTGCGTACACTATTTACGATAGGTTTAGTCACTTTTCTTATGATCGATGTGTTTGTATTACAAAACAACAACGAAGCCGACAAAACAAAAGAGACTACTACCGCTGCAGCGATGAACAATACCATTATACACGCTAAGGGTGTACAACACGAGCTTGAAGATGGATCAAAACATGGTGATCTTAGCTACGTTGCTAGCAAAAGAAAAGTGCCTCGTGGACCCGATCCTATACACAACAGGTTCTTTACTGATTTCTTGTTTCGGTTATCCCTTCCAATTAACAAATCCTTGCATGTCTATGTATGTTGTCAGTTCAGCAATATATATATATATATATATATATATAACTTTTTTTTGTAACACCAGTTCAGCAATATATATATGGCATAGCTAATGATAAATTCGATGTTGAGATTACTGACGTCGTGAGCATATCAAGCAAGATGATTAACTTATTACAAAAATTATCTGTTTATATGCACATTATTTATAAGAACTTTTTTGGCTACCCTGTACATTACTTCTAGCATAATTTTACTATAAAAATAAATACTTGGTTTCTTTTAGCTAACTCAGATTCGGCAAGACATGTCACAGAGGCTCGCAAAAGGCTGCCTGCTAGCTTTATTCAGTTTATACGTTAACAACCTTGTTTTAAATTTTAATTACTCATTTATGTATCCATTATAAGATGGCTTCTTTTACAAACTTTTTTTCCTTTATGGAAGCTTTAAATACTCTCTTTTCCCTGTCCTTTTTCTTCACCTCATTACTTAGTTATATATAAACCACTTACGATCTGAGTTGATTATTTTGAAAATACAAACGCTTACTATGAATTCCCTACATGGCCTTAAGAATATATATATACAAGCGTTTACTATGAATTCCATGCATGGCCTAGAGAATATATATATATATAGTTTCTATTCTCTGTAGAAAGCTAATTAGATATTAGCTTATAAACTGTTTTTATCAAAGTAGTTTAATAAGAAATATTTGTATATAGGCAAAAAAGAATAATTGACCAAAGTATTAGCCTAGTCAAGTAACCAAAGTATAGATGAACGCTGAACATTTGTTGTCAGGTACATAAAAGTAACAATTAAACATGAATTCCTTTTGGATTAAGTAATTAACTGGATTATTATTTATTAACTTATGTTCTGTCTTGAAACAGGAGAGCAGGAAGTTTAAGACGACCACCGGGAAGAGCATAAGTACGGTGAAAGCTTGGAGAAGAAGCAGGAAGAGCAATAGAGAAGTATTTGTTGGCAAAACAGGTCTTGTAAATGTAATGCTCCTAGATTCTCTATCCCTTTGATTTGGGATCAAATCTTTTAAATATGCTCAAAGTATTTGTGACCCTATTACACTTCTTTTTTTTTCTTTTACCAGAGAAGGTAAAAAAAAAAAACTCATACTAGAAACAATTTCTATAATCTTAAAAAGCATCTCACGAAAAAGGTATAGGTACATGCAATCCTGTTTTCTCACATTGCACAACTTGTATTGAATGAGGATGAGCATTTACTAAATTAGGTAAACGATACCAGATTTTTAACTTGAAAACCACATATGAGAGTGCTTTTTTGTTACTGTAAATAACAGGCATAAAAAATATGGATTATTATTTATTAACAGCCTAATTTGTTCTAGATATTTAGCAAAAAGAAAAATTGTTCTAGATAGCATGCTATATTAGAGTTGATAAAAACCCATGCATATTCATGTTTGATATGGACCATATCATATGGAAGATTACAAAAACACACGCACAAGATGGTTTTATGCATTTATAAAAAAAATATATGAATTTGTATCCTACTTTATAATCCAAAAATAATAAATAAGATGGATTTTTATGTGTATGAGTAATTGTACTTTTTTGAGAATTGGTTTAAGAGCAATTGTACTTTAAAAGAGTTTTTTCTATTCATTCAGAAAATATGTCGACTCCATCATCATTGATGTATTTTAAAAGCATATGTAACATTGCAAAGAGGCAAATAAAGGAGATATGGCTTCAAAGATTCGATGTATCAGATATCTATAATTTATAAATGGAATAGCATATACATTTCCTTTTAAAAAATCATGAGCTTCAAGTGCTGAAATCTAAAATGAGAATCTGTGTGATGGTTCTTCTAAATAAAGGAAACCACATTGATTCTGTGCTATGCTTTTCCCATCTTTTATTCTTTTGTTCTTTTGTGGGGGTTAACTCCACTACTCTTTTATAATTTCATATCTTTTCCCTCCATTTCAAAATAAATTTCACTAATCTTAACATATAAAAGAACTAATAACTTCACTGTTTAATAATACATCACCAACGTACAATTCGACATATTTGAAAAGGAGCAATTATAAGAAAACTAAAAAATATTAAACAAAAACCATTCGGTATTTAATTGGTCTTTTCTCAAGAAGACATACTTAATATAAACACAGTAATCACTAATCAGTCAACTTTTAACTGGTGTGTCTCTATTTTACCGTTCTTGTATATATAACTAGTTAAAGGGAGACTATTCAATTGAGAGTTTTAGATGATTTTTTTTTAAATGACAAATCCACTGTTATTCAAACATGAATTTTTAATAATTATTTAGAATTTAGTGTTATTAAACTTGACATTTTATAAATTACTCTAAAATCTACTATTATTGAAAATATTTTAAGTTGTGGAGTTTGAAAGTTTTCAAGTGATTTTGGTGTATTTGGATGGATTTTCTTAATTAAAAAAAATACAAATTCCATAGTTTTAGGTGATATTCTAGAATAGTTTAATTAAAATCACTTAAATCTCTGCAATTTATTAAAATCATCTAAAACCTCATCAAAAAATATCAAATCACCTTAAATTTTAAATTGAATACATAACTATTTTTTTTAATAAACTTTCCCTACCTAAAAATAATTTGGGGGGATGGTTGTGTATTTTAGTCGATTAGTTATTGGATATACATGCAATTAAAGTATAGAAATGATCTAATTCTAACATTTTAAACAAGTTTGGTCATTTTCCTAATTGGGCCGAATATTAATGGGCTATCATCAAGTTAATCCATACGAAACAAGCCTACTACACGACCCACGCCACGTGTAAGTCGCCACACTGGACTTTGACCCGGCGCGGCTGCCGGATTAATAAGAAATTTTTATTTTATACCGACCAGATTTAAAAAAGACAATAAACAAAAACAAAAAAAGACAAGAAAACAAACGCAAAGTTCCAACGAAAATCGAAATTCGCATTTTTTGCTCCTCCTGATCTTAGCTAGCTTCAAGAGAGAGAGCATCATCACATTCTTCTTTAGATCTGAGGTAAGAAGATGCCGGAGACGGGAGACATCGATCGTCAGATCGAGCAGTTAATGGAGTGTAAAGCTTTGTCGGAGGCCGAGGTGAAGACGTTATGCGAGCAAGCGAAGGCGATTCTGGTGGAGGAGTGGAATGTTCAACCGGTTAAGTGTCCGGTTACGGTTTGTGGGGATATTCACGGTCAATTTTACGATCTGATTGAGCTTTTTAAGATCGGTGGTTCTTGTCCTGATACTAATTATCTCTTCATGGGCGATTACGTAGGTTAGTTTAGTTAATTTCTCTACCGATTCACTTATTTGAATTTGACTATTGCTTTGATAGATTATTGTAAGCTTTTGGATGCATAGGTGAAGTAACATTTTTGATCTTTGGAGATGATAATTACATAATACTCCCTCAGTTTCGTATTAGTTATCATTTTAGAGTTTAAATTTTTTTTATGTTTTCAATGTATTTTTTACCTAATTTTTCCAAATTTATCTTTATTTTTTTAGTTCATTAAACTAAATAATTAAAGAAATCAAGGTATTAGAGAGGGGTAAAACAATAAATTTAATGGTTTTCTTAGAGTATGTAATTTGAGAAGCTTGTAGTAGTTTTGTTTCCATTGTTATCTGATTCTGTAGCATTAGTCAGCCGGAGATCTTGTTTGGCTAAGCCATTGAGTCAGTCAGCTATATGATTTTATGATGCTTAGATACTCTTATATATATTTTTTTACAGTGCTAGAGAAATAGCTAAACGGTAATTAGGTGTTTTAGGATGGATTACTGTTTAGGCAGGTGCATAGACCGGAGTTTTTTTTTGAAATTCTTCTAGAAAAATTGTGTTCTTATGTCCAATTTTAGAACACTTTATTTTTGTGATCTTGTAAGCCTAATTGTACTCTGAAATCGTCTCTAATAATTAAAATTTTATCTTTGTAAGTGGGCATCAATCCGGTAGAACCATGTTAAATCTTTGTGTTGATTGCATTTTATTATCTGTTTCTGCCCAGTCTTCTAACATTCTGTGTGATTTGATATGCTGGAGTAGTATTTGTTTGGATTGTTTGTATATTAGGATTTATGTGTGTCATGGCTCTTATTTGCTGTGTTAATGTGTGAAGATCGAGGGTATTATTCAGTGGAGACAGTCTCGCTTTTAGTAGCTCTGAAAGTTAGATACAGAGATAGACTTACCATCCTTAGAGGGAACCACGAAAGTCGCCAAATCACTCAAGTGTAAGTGTTTTGCAATTCTCAGCTAAGCATTCTCTGTTTCAAAGGCACTCATCAAGAGTTAGCCTTAATATTTTCAGGTATGGATTCTATGATGAATGTTTGAGGAAATATGGAAACGCTAATGTTTGGAAGCACTTCACTGATCTCTTTGATTATCTTCCTCTTACAGCTCTCATTGAGAGTCAGGTTTAGTTCTTAAACCCTTTTATCTTTAATCTGCCTTCACGGTTTTTGACATAGCTATTATACTTCTCTGTAGGTTTTCTGTTTACATGGAGGACTTTCACCTTCTTTAGATACACTTGACAATATCAGATCTCTAGATCGAATTCAAGAGGTAATTAAAAGCTGCTGCATGCTACTTTATGTTATAACTTAACGAAACTAAAAATCTTTGTCTTGTTGTGCCATTAGGTTCCACATGAAGGACCAATGTGTGATCTGTTATGGTCAGATCCAGATGATCGTTGCGGTTGGGGAATATCTCCTCGTGGCGCAGGCTACACGTTCGGACAAGACATCGCTACTCAGTTTAACCACACTAATGGTCTCAGCCTGATATCAAGAGCACACCAACTTGTCATGGAAGGTTTTAATTGGTGCCAAGACAAGAACGTTGTTACTGTCTTTAGTGCTCCAAACTATTGCTACCGATGCGGCAACATGGCTGCGATTCTAGAGATTGGTGAGAACATGGACCAGAACTTCCTTCAGTTTGATCCAGCTCCACGTCAAGTTGAGCCTGAGACTACACGTAAGACTCCAGATTATTTTTTGTAAGTACGAAAAAAAAGAAGACAGAAACTAGTTCTTGTTCTCATTTGCTTCTGTTCTTAACCTTTCTCTGTAATTTCATTTTTCTGTTCGTTAAAACTGATATGAGCGTTACAAAGATTCTAGTTCAAGTAACTGAAACCCGCTCTATTACCAAACCACATTAAATAAGCTTTGGTATATAAACTATAAATAACACAAATGTTGTGGAGAGGTACATATAATACACAAACAAGCTGAATCTTGAGATTCAAGAGCTTTTGAAGTTAGAAAGATTGTGATGTGTTACTTAACAGGATAGATCTGAATTGCATGTGTAGCTATGCATCCTTGTTTAAATAAGGTTAATCTTTTGAATTAGAAGGATATGTTTAAAGGATTAGAAACAAATGACAAGATACATTGAAAGTGAAGATGTGGGTTACCTTTCTCTGGTCACAATAATCCTTTCAAAACTTGTATTTTGAACTTTGGAACTAACTTATAAGTACCAGTGTATGAGCCTTGTTGTAAACAGTTAAACGTAGTGACGGCAACAGGTTCTGTGAGTTACAGTACAAAACAATAGAGATTCTGGTGCTAAACCATAGATGGAGAAGGGGATAGTAATGGTGATCCATATGGAGAATGATCTTAGCAAAAGATAAGAGGAGCATTACTGTGTTGACGACCATTTTTTAGCGCCAATATTAGTTACTAGATGGTACTGTAAAACACGTTTATATTTTATGTTTGCTCCATTCTATTTTATATTTCAAGAGTTATAACTCTTCGGAAAAATATAATTTTAGATTTGCACATGATTATATAACCCTCTTCAAAGTATCTCAGATTATTCTATTTGCTCAATTCGGTATCAACTTAGTTGTGTTTATATGGTCAAACGTCTTATATATCTTAAAACAGGTCCAGCCTTCTTGGTTCTTACATCTAAACGTGTACACAATGATGAAAATATTTGCAGTGAAATAGCGTGTCCTCATAACCTTATCCTGATTTTGTATGACCTTGTCCTAATTTTGAGAAAAGACACGAGACGTCCTACTTATATAACTGTGACAACCGAAGCCATTGGGCTACTGAGGAAATCATGTGGGCAAGCAAATTGGGGCCACTCATTAACAACATACACCAATTGGGCAAGTTGACTCATTTGTGCCCACTAATTAGTACATGAAGTTAACCCTTCTTCTTTCACATTGTGGGATCACTCTAGGTCTTTTGTACGCTTGTTGTGACAATACGACGAGGAAACGAC